GCGCACGCACGCACGCACGTACACGCACGTACACGCACGCACGCACGTACACGCACACACGCACGCACGCACGCACGTACACGCACGTACACGCACGCACGCACGTACACGCACACACGCACGCACGCACGCACGTACACGCACACGAACGCACGCACGCACGCACACACACACGCACGCACGCACACACACACGCGCGCGCGCACGCACGTACACGCACACACGCACGTACATGCACGCACACACACGCACGCACGCACGCACATACACACACAACCAACACCACACACGACCAAAGAAAAGCAGCGTTTACGAACACGCGCCTTCTGCGCACGCTAAATCATTCGTGTCCTAGTTTCGTAAATTGGCATGGGGACCAGGCAGGAGGGGGGAGAAAGGAGAAATTAGCTGAAGGGTAGGTCAAGGAAATAGAAACCACACGAGCGCGGCGAAATGCGAAGCTCCCGACGAAATTACGGTGTAGAGCGGAGGAGGGGGAAGGAGGATGCGCAAATAGATCTCATTATGTAATCATGGCTTCGATGTTTCTTCGTGGTGTGTGGGATGCGGCCACACACACGTGTAGCGAGAGAAAATAAGCAGGTCCAGGCGGAACATATATTTCTAGGTAAAAATATGTAATGGGATAATTGTAATGGAATTAGCTGCGCTTCAGTCGCCTAGGAGAATAATTATGTTGTAATTGAAAGTTGTATTTTTGTGCAGTGAGCACAACCATATACTAAACACATCCGCATACTCGTCGATCTATATTTACGTGTTGAGATTGGATGAAAATCGAAAAGAAGTCCGAGAGAATTCATTGTATTTACGGACGAAAAAATGCTCGCTATGACAATCTATCCGTGTTTGCTTACATCGCAATGGAATCACAGAATGTATTATTATGCAGCAAATTAGCACAGAAAGGGCGAGTTAAACCACATGTAACTCTATTTTCTAAGTTCATATTTCCTAAATGACGATTGTTAGTACTGTTTAAAGTGACACATTGACTTCATTCAAGCAGGATGGGATGTTGGTTTCCTATAGTACAAAAAGAATGACAGTGATTAGAGAAAACGGGGCAAGGTAGGAATAACATATGAACAAGACACTTCTTGGGGGGGAAAAAAGAGAGAAAAAGAGAGACGGAGAGAGAGAGTGAGAGAGAGAGAGAGAAAAAGAGGAGAGACACACATACACACACCCAGAGAGAGAGAGAGAGAGAGAGAGAGAGAGAGAGAGAGAGAAAGAGAGAGAGAGAGAGAGAGAGAGAGAGTTGTTATACGCATCTCCTTTATTTTCCTCGTGTCTCTCGTTTAGAAGGTGCGCTGCTTGTTACCGCTGCGGCCGCGTGCCTGGATGCTGTGTTGCTGTGTTTTACAGTGATCGATCGACTGTTCAAATCTCTCGACCGTGCATCACCTCGCTAATGATGACGTCATGGAGGAATGCCTTACCTACCCTTAATAAGTACTGTGAGTAGAAACATACAGTACAGCACCAAGTAGTAGCAAAAGCCACATAGACGCCTGAGGATACCGTGAGCATGCACATGCACATGCACATGCGATAAACGCACGTCACGTGTGGGGGATACTAGTGCCGAGAGCGGCGGCGTGGCGCACCTCGTCTCGCGGCAACGTTATCTCTCGCAGCCATGCTCGGGATTCCATGACAGTAGCGAAGTCTATGAGGGGCGGATGAGACGCGTCTACCACTGCGAGTCAAACGGCTGGAGTCTGGAACGAACGCGGGATTTTCTACCGTATACATGAAAGGAACGCACGTTATCCTTCGGAACGTAAGGATCGTGCTAGGAACGTAAAGGTGTTCAATATTTCGATAACTCGCTTACGTGCGTTCGCTAACAACTCTAGCTGCTGCGGAAAGCGAGGCGTTCAGCATCTCGATAGCTCGGCGAGTCTGGCGTTCAAGAACAACTAACCGTTCGTTAATCGATCTGGTGGCTGGAAAGAGACTCAGTACGGCGACGCACGCGCGCACGCACACACACCCCCCGCTACCCGGATATTTGTCAACGTCCCGTAGTCGGTGTTTCGCTTGAGTGCGCGCGTGAGGAGAAAGCGCCTCATTCTCTACTCATCTATGTGAGTAGCAGCGGCCAGATTGAAACGAGCTTACACAAACACACGCACGCGACGACGGCAGACGTGAAGCTGCGCCACGCTCACAGTTAACTGAAGGCAAGTAAGTAAATGATCGCATGCGCGTTTTTCGTGGCTAAAAAAGTGTACGGGACGCGTAGTAGTGCGAGCTGAAACCGTGAGAGATGAGAGTAGGATGAATTGCATAATGAAATTGACAGTAAACCTTCTGGGTGTAGAGCCGCTTGATGTTTATATAATGGTGGTGCGTCGGTAGGTCTAAAACATTACTCATTATAGGTTTACGGTATGTGTAAAGTTAGGGTAATCGGTAGCCTACTTAGTCTTACCCGTATCCTTAACTATAGACATTTCATATATCATTAACTTTTCCCTATAACCTTACCCTTGTCCTTACCCTAATGCTTACCCAATCCCTCGCCCTAACCCTAACCCTAACACCAACTCTAACCCTAACCATAAATCTAACCCTAGCCATATCTTTAAGCCTAATCTTTACTCGTACAAGTACGTTGCTCTTAGCCTTATTCATGTCCTTACTCTAAGCCTTACTCTTATCCCGCCACTTACCATTGCCCTTATCCATATCTTTGGCCTTACTCGTACCTTTGCCCTCACTCGTGTCCTTACCCTTACTCGACCCCCTAGCTCGAGCCCTACCCCTAACCGTGTGTTCAACCATTTATCGCGCCTCTAGCAACCCTAAACCTGCTGTCTCATTTTATGCGTCATCTGCAACATACAAGTACACAGCACGCACGCTCTGTGCACAAACATAATGAATAAGAGAGGAGCTTATCTGCTCCGTAGCGTGCGTGCGGTGTACTTGTGTGTTGCAGGTGAGCATTTGACCGGCATTTACGGGTAATTATCGCAATAATAGGCGAAATAGAGTAGAGAAACATTAAGACTTTGGTAGTAAATGTTCGTGTTTATTTACCTTTTTTTATTGAGACGTTCCAAGTGCCTGTGGACTGCACGCTGGGGCTGCGTGAAAGAGAGCGGAGGGGGCGGGTCCGTTAAGTTCGCAACATATGTTCGTGCGTGTGGTATCTGTTCACACGTTGTTGGCACGACTCTACACGCGCCGCTGAGACAGAAATCCTCTATGCCAGCCGTACTTAGCACGTCGCGAGCTGGGCGTACGTGCTGACACGTGTAGTAAGAAAGCTGATGTTGATGGCGATGATGACGGTAATGATGGTGGTCTCGAGGACGCATACATCGTGGTGGTGCTGCTGATCACCGTGTGCATGTGTGTACGTGTGTCAGCACAGGCACTTGGAGAAATTCAGCCTACAGTCACGCCGCTGCACATTTATATATATGTATAAGAAACGTGGACCATGAAGAAGGCCCTGCAGGACCGGATTGATGGCACATACACTCGATTTCTTATGAGAGTTCAGAACATCAGCTGGCGGGAACACAAAACAAAAGCAGAGATCTATGGAGACATACCACCCATTTTTACCATTGTAGCTCGTCGCAGAACACGTTTTGCTCGTCATTGTTTCCGTGCCAAAAACCAAATCACATCTGATGTAATCTGCTTGAGACTTCCTTGCCCAACCGTAGGAAGACGGCCACTGAACTACATTGACTGCATTGCAAGGGCTATCCAGCATGACATAGCGGACATGCAGACACTGATGATGGACAAATATTCATGGCATAACATTGTTAACTCTATCTCGGATGCGTCCGCTGAGTAGTAGTAGTAGTAGTATAATATTATTATATATATATATATATATATATATATTAGACTCCAAGTGCATGTGTGTGTCAGTTTCTCCCGACATCTACCCTTCGTCGTTCCTTCTCCCACTCCTACTCATCATTCTTTCTCTCGCCCTCCCCATCTCATTTCTTCCGCGCTCGTGCTCACGTTTTCCACCGTTCTCTTTATCCCCCTTCTAGCTCGCTTATTCTCGCTATCGCCCTCGCTCGCTTTCTCTCTCTCTCTCTCTCTCTCTCTCTCTCTCTCTCTCTTTCTCTCTCGCTCATTCTCTATCGCGCTGACTCTGTTACACGCACGCTCTCGCTTCCTACGGGTTTCTTTTTTGTCGCTTCTCCTCTCTCACTTGAAATTGACAGTAATTTAAAGTGCAAGGGAGCGTGTAAAGTTGCGGCTATTAACTCAAACGCGTCTAACCCTATACAAACAACGCTCACGTGCGCCTTGAAAGATTTCCACTCGAAAACTTTAAAACGTCAAAGCAGCAGCAGCAGCAGCTGAAGTAGTAGTAGTAGTAGTAGTAGTAGTAGCAGTAGCAGTAGCAGTAGCAGTAGCAGTAGCAGTAGCAGCAGCAGCAGCAGCAGCAGTAGCAGTAGCAGTAGCAGCAGCAGCAGCAGCAGCAGGGGCAGGGGCAGCGGCAGCAGCAGGAAACGTCAAAGCAGCAGCAGCCGCAACAGCAATAACAACAACAGCAGCAGCGATTTTAAAACAACGACGATTACTATCAAGAGCAGGTAAAAGTCGCATCTAGTTTACGTGCCCCGATGCTATCTTGCCATTGCTGATCGCGTTCTCTCCGATCTCCAGGGCGACCGCTAAGACACGGTGCTGAAGGCAGTGGGAGGTGTAACGCACACACGGCAGCGGCGTGACAGCAGCACACAGCAGCGATGTCGAACGGCTACGACGGCAAGGAACGCTTCGCGATGAGCTCCGAGAGCGGCACGGGCAGCACCAGCGGCAGCAGCAGCATCAAGTTCAAGGAGAGCAAGGGCGTGTTTCTCTCGCGCGCCGCCGCAGTGCTACTGGCACTGATAGCCGTCGCCTGCGTCATCGGCGTCGGCGTCATCGTCGCCTACACGAAGCCCGGCTGCGACGACGCGTCCGGCGCCGGCAGCGCCGCCGGAGAACCGCGACCGGAAGCGGAAGCGGAGCCGAGCGCGTCGCGACCGACGGACGTGCGACTTCCGCGCGGCGTCGTGCCGCTGCATTACAACGTCGAGCTGCGGCCAAACCTCGACCCGACCGTGTTCAAGTTCGACGGATGGGTGGAGATACTGATCGAGTGTCGCCAGCCGACCGACAACGTGACGATGCACGTCAACAAGCTGACGACGCGCAACGGCGCGCTGCGGTCGGCCGACGCCTACGCCGACGACGACACGCCGACGATCGCGTCCGTGTCGCGCGACGACGCGAAGCAGTTTCTCATCTACGAGCTCAGAGGCAAGCTGCACGCGGGAAGGAGGTACTGGATACGCATGGACTTCGAGGGAGACTTGGAGGACGACCTCGTGGGACTTTACCGAAGCAAGTACACGACAAGCACGGGAGAAGTAAGGTAGGTGGTATGCTGCCGCGTAGGCGGAACATATGTGTCTATATGTTGTCATTAGGCGGCCATGTGTCTATAAGTTGTCATGTAGACAGCCACGTGTCTATAAGTTGCCATGTTGACAGCCATGAGTCTATAAGTTGTCATGTTAACAGCCATGTGTCTATAAGTTGTCATTATGCGGCCATGTGTCTATAAGTTTTCATGTAGGTGACCATGTGTCTCTAAGTTGTCATGTAGGCGACCATGTCTCTCTCTCTTTCTCTCTCCCTTATTTACTCCTCCTCTCCCTCTCTCTGTCCTCCTGTCTCTGCCTCTCTACCCGGACGCGCTGTAACCACGGATACCGCACGCGCATGCCGCCCGCCCGCGCGCGCACGCCCCCTACATCATCGCCTCCTCCTCATAACCGCCGCCTTCATCACGCCTGACCAAGCAGAAGGTCGGAGATTAGCAATCGCCGCTCATCAGAGACGACGGCACGGCGTCGATGTCGAGGCGACGGTGACAGAGTCTGGTCATGTGTGAGGGTGGGGCCGCGGTGACGCGTTAGGGGACCAGTAATAATTACTATTATTAATTATTATCAATTAGCAATAATTATTATGAAGGCTGATTGGCTGTAATGTAAGGGTGTTACCGCCTACATTGATTGATTGATTATTGATTATATTTGATTGATGTACGAAATCAGTGAAGCGGTGATAAGTGCTTTGCTGTTATAGCCCCCTGTCCACTGCCTACGTATGTGGTAGTGCATGCGTGTGAGTGTGCGTGTATGCGTGCGTGTGTGCGCGTGTGTATGCGCGCGTGTGTGTCTGTGTGTTTGCGTGCGTGCCTGTGCGAGTATGCGAGCGCGCGTGTATATATATATATATATATATATATATATATATCAGAAGTAGATAATAGAAAAATTCCCTATTAGTTCCCTAATAGTTCCCTATTATCTACTTCTGATATATATGTATATTAATGAATATTTATGGACATTGGCTGTGACCTATCAGTCACCGACGATGTGACAGCTATGAGAGCGTGAAGCTAATCGCATGAGAAGCCATGCAAGCACGGACGCAGAAGCGCCAAGGTCATATAAGTGAAAACGCCAAAGTCAGGTAAGTGAAAACGCCAAGGTCATGTAAGTGAAAGCGGAAGAGCTCTCTCTCTCTTTCTCGCGCACGCGAGTATCCCTAATTGCACGCACACGCACGCACACGCGCACGCACACGCACACACGCACGCATACGCACGCACACGCACGCACACGCGTGTTTATCCATGCAACCGTCGCATTAGAGCAATTAAACGTCTTAAAACAACGCGCGCCCGTCACGTCTCGCGAAATCAAAATAATTTTCTGACGAATTTCTCTCTCTTAATGATGTTCCGTCATCATCAACAATCCCCCCACCACTACTAATGACATTGAGCGAATCATCAAACCCGATATTAATCAGACGCGTTAATTAGGCAAATATAGCACGTAAAGTCAGATTCCACGCCGCTGCTGCCGCCTGGTGTCCGGTATCTGAAACAGCAGCGGCCGGAATATGACCCGAGTAAGATGACAGTCCCGATCCGCCCCTGGCTCTCTCCGTGTGTGCGTGCAATCCGAGAACGGGGACAAAGAAGAAAGAAGAACGGTTAAGCAACAACGATCGAATATGGCAATTGAGAGCGAAGACGATTTCAAAAGAAAGAGCTGATCGAGTCAGGGAAGAAGGAGGGGAAGAAGGAGGACAGGGCGAGAAGGATGAAGGGAAGACAGAGAGGGTAGATAGAAGACAGGACGAGAAGTATGAAGGGCAGACAGAGGAGACAGATAGAAGACCGGACTGACCGAACTGCAACGGACTAAGCATAGACTGCCACGGACTAAGCACGGACTGCCACGGACTAAGCACGGACTGCCACGGACTAAGCACGGACTGCCACGGACTAAGGACGGACTGCCACGGACTAAGCACGGACTGCCACGGACTAAGTTCTATAAGTTGTCATGTAGGCGTCCATGTCTCTCTAAGTTGTCATTAGGCGGTTATGTGTCTATAAGTTGTCATGTAGGCGTCCATGTCTCTCTAAGTTGTCATTAGGCGGTTATGTGTCTATAAGTTGTCATGTAGGCGACTATGTCTCTATAAGTTGTTATGTTTACAGACATGTGCCTATAAGTTGTTGTGTAGGCGGCCATGTGTCAACAGGATATCTCTCATGCGGCGACGTTTTTATTTATAGTTAACTTGTTATATTTTACATAAATAAGAGTATACAGAATACAGTATATATACGGAATATTTCAGTCCTTGAGAATCACGTGGATCGAATAATGACCACCGCAACATTCGATTTCTCTGTCTCCGCATAGTGGTAGCTACCTCACGTCTCTTTACCTGACCAATTAGAATTAATACACACAAAATAGACACCAACATGAGCTCTCGCATGACGACTACACCCGGCTTGACGCTCATAGGGTGATAGGGTCTATGTCCCCCATGGTACTGCCGGAACGTACCCTGGTAACTATTTGATATGGTTAGGGTTAGGGAGTAGGCGTAGGCGACTCCCTAGTATCGTTAGTGGAGTAGGCGAGGTACCGTCCGGCATATTAGATAGTACCAGGGTACGTTCCGGCAGTACCCTGGGGGACATAGACCATCTCAGCCGAATTGACAGCTCGGGTGTAAATAACGTACGTATTACCAAGAGCTTGGCATTACGGAAAATTACAGCCGCAATCGCAGTTTCGGCTTATGTTCAGCTCGTTAGAGATCCGACTGGAGTTACCAGACGTATGTAATCAGCAAAGCGATCGCTGCTGTCGCGTAAGGATAGTCACAAACACCTGCTCTCACAAATCCCCTACCCCGTAAAGCACTACGCAGACTTATAAGACCTAATAATACCTAGCGTATTACCTAGAAGTATTACTAGCTCTTTGTACTAATAAGAGGCAGGCACTTCGTAATGATTCCGCGCACAGGCACTTTTACTTGGAATGTCTCAATAAAAAAAGGTAAATAAACACGAAATGTATTTACTGTCAGTCTTAATGTTTCTCTACTCTCCTGTGCCTATTATTGCCGATAACTTCATCTAAATGCCGTTCAAATGTTCCTCTGCAACACACAAGTACACCGCACGCACGCTGCTGTGCACAAACAACTTACTAGAATATATAGAGTTTCTACTATATATTCTCGTATTTCAACTCTATATTCTAGTTGTTTGTGCACAGCGGCGTGCGTGCGGTGTACTTGTGTGTTGCAGAGAAGCATTTGAACGGCATTTACAGGAAGTTATCGGCAATAATAGGCGAAAGAGAGTAGAGATCTAAACATTAAGACTTTGGTAGCAAACACATTTCGTGTTTATTTACCATTATTTTCTATTGAGACGTTCCAAGTGCCTGTGATTCCGCGTAGCACGCCTACGCGACAACAACTTGTAAGTTGTGTGTACTTGTGGGTGTGTGTGCGTGTATGTGCGCTTGCGTGCGTGCGTGCGTGGACTTGCGGATGGGCGTGCGTGCGAGTACGCACGCGTATGATTACGTCAAGCATCGTTACCGATATGGATCTCACTCTAGCAATATCTGCGGGTTCTACCACCGCCTCGCTAAAACTACGCGGTGTGCATAGCGCAGCGATTATTGATCCAACCAGCTATTGCGACTTCGCATGTACACATGTGAGAGAATTGCGAACAAATGTGGTGTGGCCTGGCGATGCTATATAGGCAGAATACGCACGCTCGCACGCACGCACGCACGCACGCACGCGCGCGTACGCAAGCGCGCATGCACGCAGACACGCACGCATACAGACACATGTGCCGTTCCAATAGTAAATAAGATAAACAAAGACTCAAATCTCTTGAAGCGATATATAACGCGTAGAAGACGCCCACATGCGTTACCTTTATATTCTGTGCTGTATTGTATATACTGTACTATTAGATTACTATATTATCTCTTGATATTATATATATATATATATATATATATATATTATATATATATATATATATTCGTGTAAAACCCCCTCCGTCGTCTTACGAAAACAAATTTCGTGGAACTGTGAAAGAGTAGGATACGAGTTAGCTCTAGTACCGGCTAGTACAGGCCTGCGGCAACTGTACGCGGCTATAGTACTAGAGCTAGATACGAGTTCGCCGTCGCATCGGTTAAACAGGATTCGCTATTAAGTACAAGAACAACAATACGTACGAGAACAATTTATCATCGCCACGCACATGTCTAGCATGCTGCCCAGCCCACCATCACCTTGTTTTGTTACATTGTAATAGGTCTATGCACCGATAGCGTAATGCTTCGACAGTGTTGAGTTTGTTACATCAGAGTCAGCGTTGATATTTCTTGTGTGCGCGTGATGCATGCATTCTCTCCACTCCAATATTGCGTGTTCACACACAAGAAAAACCGCGATGCTAATCGCGATGGAAATACCGAGATAATTGTGCCCTTGTTCACACAGGCGGAAATATCTCGCTAATCGCCGAGCGGGATAATTCTATTAATCGAACTGCGCATGCCTGATATCAAGCCGGAATATAACCCTTCCGGTCGCACGCGCGCGAATTATGTACTACCGGAATTCGAGTTCGGTGTTCGATTCCACGTACACGGCAGTGCAGTCGTTGGTAGTAGTCTAGCTCTGTTACGTTAACGTATGTTACTCTAGCTCGCTTACGTTAACGTATGCTACTCTAGCTCTGTTACGTTAACGTATGCTACTCTAGCTCTGTTACGTTAACGTATGCTACTCTAGCTCTGTTACGTTAACGTATGCTACTCTACGTCTGCACGTATTTACGTAAACACATCGTATGATGGGATAGAAAATACCGGGATTATTTGCGCGAGCGTTCACACACACGCCGCGGTGCAATTAATCGCGCTAATTCCCAAATAATCGCAGTCTAAAGTGCGATTTGCAGCGCGGTGCTGATCGCGATACGTAGTGAGATTTTTGCGTTCACACTCTCATCTCGAGATTTCGATCGCGATGCAAAAACCGAGATTTGCATCCCGCTAATTCCCGCCAGTGTGAACG